GCACATTAAAAAATTGCGCGCTTTTCTAGCGGCAATGTAATTACGAGATATCGATAAGTGCGCGTGAGCTGCTGAGCTGAGTGGCGTGTCGCAATCGAACTAGCTCAGAGCTGAACTAATCGACTCTAAAATATACGCAACGCAACGCAACGCAGCAGCAGCAGCAACAGCAGAAGCAGAAGCAGCAGTGATAGAAGAATCTATAGTATCAGCGGGCTGCGTTTTAATCAATTAAAAGTCGGTCGTGTAAAAAAATGCAGCCGCTGGCTGCCAGCAGCAGCCGTTGCCTATCAGCTGGTACTGGTTGTCCGCGCACAACCAGATGTGGAAGCGTATACGGACGTGGGTGGTATCCAGAGTCAATCGAGCAAATTCTGAACGCAAGCGCACACAAGCCAAGCAAAAACGAAGAAGCAAAGCAAAAATAGCAACAGCAACAGCAACAGCAAAAACAAAGTTCAGGGTCATGGTCAGGCAGCTGCTGTAGGGAGTTTTAAGTGTTAAAGAGTTGGTTAAAAGTAAACAGTTTAACTGGACATAACTGGGCAACAGCATGTCGAGCGATTCATCCCCGGATAGCGAAGGCGAACTCTACGATCCGCTGGCCGATGAGCTGCACAATGTGCAGCTGGTGAAGCATGTGACCAGAGAGAACATCGATGCGCTTAATGCTAAGTTCGCCAATCTGCAGGAGCCGCCAGCCATGTACTTAACAGGTGGGCAGCACGCACGCACACAGATGCATAAACACACACACACACACACACACACACACATGTACACACATGCACACTAATTCACCCCCACCGAAACGCGAACCGAACCCTTCAAGCAATTACTCAATCCACCCTTAATTATCCACAGAATACCAGGAACTGACATCCAAGCTGCACGAGCTGGAGGCCAAGGAGCATGAGCTGATGGAGCAACTGAATGCACTGCAGCAGGAGGACGAATGCCGTAGCCAGAGCGAGGCTCAGCAGCAGTCGCTGCAGTCAGCGTCGCAGCTAATTGGGGATCGATCCGATCAGCCGCACTATCAAAACCAGACGCAAATCCTGCAGCAACAGCGTCAATTGGCGCGCATTGCGCCCGAGCTGAGCGACAGTCTGGTCTCCAGCTCGGGCATTGGCTCTACGGTTAGCGGCAGCGGCTCCGGCCCCGGCTCGGGCACGGCCAGCCAATGCGGCACGCTCACACGGCAGCCGAAGGTGCTGCTGCGCGCCCATTTGCCCAACCAGCAGCGCACCTCCGTCGAGGTGGTGGCCGGCACTCGGCTCTGCGATGCTTTGATGAAGGCCCTTACCCTGCGCCAGCTGGAGCCGTTTATGTGCGAGGTGAGCACAACGCAGCACAGCGGACGACATATCATACCGTGGAACACGGACATTGGCACGCTGCATGTCGAAGAGATCTATGTGCGGCTGCTGGACAAGTTCCCATTGGGGCCGTACATCAAGCATCAGTTCATACGCAAGACCTTCTTCTCGCTGGTCTTCTGCGAGGGCTGTCGCCGCCTCCTGTTCACGGGCTTCTATTGCAGTCAGTGTAACTTTCGCTTCCATCAGCGCTGCGCCGGCCGCGTGCCCATGCTGTGCCAGCCCTTCTCCGTGGACAGCTACTATGAGCGTCTGCTCTCCTCGTATCCAGAGAACTCGGTGGGCCTGCCCGTCGGACGCAGCAGTGCCGTACGCTTCAATGTGAGCAGCCGCAGATGCAGCAGCAGCGGCAGCAGCACCACGACAACGACCACCACCACCAGCAGCTCGAAGCCCGCGGTCAATCGGCAGGGTCGTCCGCCGCGCATCAGCCAGGACGATCGATCCAATTCGGCGCCCAACGTTTGCATCAACAGCATCCGACCGCTGACCACCGAGACGCAGCGCAGCCTCATCATGCAGGCCAGGCCCCCGTTGCCGGTAAGTGTCAACTTAAGGGGAAGACATCTCCAGCTCCATAAAGCATACAGGCCTGATAAGTGTCAAGAGGCTTTGTGAAAAAGTCCGTTGTGGGAGGCTCTTGTCTTAGTTGTCCGAATCGGCGCACTATATCCTTTAGCTGCCCTGGGAATGATAGGTCGAATATTATGTTCATGTCACGATATCTTGACCAGATCCGATTCTCCTTAAATTTCCTAATATAACTATGTATGTATGTTAAGTAAACGGGCAAAGCCGTTTCATATCATTCTTTCGCATTACTCACAATAGTTTTCTTCTCATATTTCTCGCCTTATTGCTTGGCATTGCTGGCTCCTCATTTTGCAGCATCCCTGCACGGATCACTCGAACTCGACGCAGTCATCGCCCACCAGCACGCTGAAGCACAATCGACCGCGCGCCCGTTCCGCGGATGAGAGCAACAAGAATCTGCTCTCGAGGGATGCCAAAAACTCTGAGGAGAATTGGGTAAGCTGTTGCAAATGAATGTTGCCTGCTGCTCTTATTGATAAAATCAATAATTTTGCGCAGAATATACAAGCTGAGGAGATATTGATTGGGCCACGCATCGGTTCGGGCTCTTTTGGAACTGTTTATCGCGCCCATTGGCATGGACCCGTTGCCGTTAAGACGCTCAAGGTGAAGACACCCAGTCCGGCACAGCTGCAGGCGTTCAAGAACGAGGTGGCCATGCTGAAGAAGACGCGCCACTGCAACATCCTGTTGTTCATGGGCTGCGTATCGAAGCCCTCGCTGGCAATTGTCACCCAGTGGTGCGAGGGCAGCAGCCTCTACAAGCACGTCCATGTCAGCGAGACGAAGTTCAAGCTCAACACGCTCATCGACATTGGCCGCCAGGTGGCACAGGGCATGGACTATCTGCATGCCAAGAACATAATACACAGGTGAGCGCATGAGGCATCTCTAGCTGCAGCTGGCATTTCCTGAAAGCTCTGTGTGCATAGATCTCTCCAAAATAAGTTGGTTCAAAAACCAAATCTAAATTTGAATTATAAGTATTTTTGCTTTTCACGCATTTTCGTAACGTGTCGGTGGATTCAGCCAATGATTTCTTATATAGAGAGCACACTTCTCATATTTCATTTGCCAAATGATCAGACATAAATCGAACTATTATCCTTACTAAAACATATAAACAGAATGCTGGGCTTTTCCGGAAAGTTTGCGAAAAACAATTTCCCTTCACTATTTGAATAATGGTTCTTTTCAAAATGTGCAAGACACGCCTCTAATGAAATTTCCAACACAGTTCTTTGAAAATGACTTTGAAGCTGATCGAATGAAGAATATTTAATTTTGCGAAATTGTTTTTCAACAATTTTCCATCCACTCGCAATGAATTTTCCAAAACCACGTCAGGATGTTGCCCAAACTCACAAAAAATTACAGACATAAAAAAATTCATTTTTGATTTTGATACAAATCTGCTAGCCATTTTTTCATCAGTAAAATGGGGTCTTTCTAAAAAGTGTGAAACAGTTTCCCTTCATTTTCCACCATGGAATGCAATGGCGGAATGTTGGATAATGGATTTTTCCCAAATTTGCGAAACACGCCTCTAATCAAGTTTCACAAAGATCTATGAAAATGTTATTCGAATAAAAAACAAGCAAAGTTTTTAAAATCGTTTTGCAAGATCCTTCCGCCAATAAATATTCCAAAATCATGTCGTGATATTCCTTAACCTTACAAAAGGTAACTGCCCTGAAAAATGTATTTTTCTAGCTTTAAAGATTTAAATAACGATAGTCTGCTTGGAAGCTACATTTTCCAACAGGTAAATGGGTTTATTTCCGAAATGTGTGCCGCACGTAGTTTCCGCCCATTTTCCACGTGGGTTAATCAATGTGGGAGACGAACATTGCACAAACATTTGCACTCAATCAGTAGAAGAGCTTTATTCAGTTGCTTTTTTTGCCTGCCTCCAACAGGGATCTCAAGACGAACAACATTTTCCTGCACGAGGATCTGTCGGTGAAGATTGGGGACTTCGGTCTGGCGACCGCCAAGACGCGCTGGTCCGGCGAGAAGCAGGCCAATCAGCCGACGGGCAGCATTTTGTGGATGGCACCGGAGGTGATACGCATGCAGGAACAGAATCCCTATTCATTTCAATCGGACGTCTATGCGTTTGGCATAGTCATGTACGAGCTGCTCGCCGAGTGCCTGCCGTATCGGAATATTAGCAACAAGGATCAGATACTGTTTATGGTCGGGCGCGGTCTGCTGCGACCCGATATGACCCAGGTGCGCTCCGATGCGCCGCAGGCATTGAAGCGCCTAGCCGAGGACTGCATCAAATACAATCCCAAGGAGCGACCGCTATTCCGGCCGCTGCTCAACATGCTGGAGAACATGCTGCGCACCTTGCCCAAGATCCATCGCAGCGCCAGCGAGCCAAATCTGACCCAATCCCAGCTGCAGAACGATGATTTTCTCTACATGTGCCCCAGCCCCAAGACGCCGGTCAACTACAACAATTTCCAATTCTACAACAGCGCTGGCAACATCTAAGGCCCATATCCAAGCAGTTCGGTGTCCACGAGGACGACAAGGAGGCGGCTGTACCTGTACTTACTACCCATCAATTTGGGGAGGCATGCAACAAATGCTTGCATATTGTTGGTTTAATTTTCTTATTATTATTATGGTCAAGCTTAAAAACGAGCAGGCCAGCATGAGCGAGACAGAGACAGACAGAGAGAGGGAGATGCACGAGATGCGAGATGGAAGACTGTGGCTCTCGCTCTGACTGGCTCGCCTGGCCCTGTTCGGCTGTGTTTCCTGTATCTTTGACCTCAGCCTGGAGCAACTTTAATGTGCATTTCTGTTAACGTTTAAACAAAAAGGAGACGATGCAAAGAGAAAGAACTATTAACTATATTATTGTAAACTAACTAAAACTGAAACGCGCATACATATGTACATACATATAAATATATATACACACACACACACACACACAGACACAGACACACACGTTAGGCATCTACTAAAACTAGCTGATCGAAAGAAATTACATTATAAACAATATACTACTATATTAACTATAACGTAAATCATGTTTTTATTTCGAACGCACACATGAAAAACAGCATGAATTTGTCAGTGCTAAACGTAGCGACTGGCTATGGCCAGCACCTTGGTGTAGTCGGCGCCCTTCGCCAGCGTCTTCTCCTTCAAGATGGTCCGCAGCACCGTTGGAATGGGCACGTGTATGCGTGTGCCCAGCGGACTGCCATTGTCATCGATTAGCACCAGGTTGTTGCTGTCGAACTGCGGCTGCTTGAGCCGCTGCTTCTGCTTGAGTCCCACAAGGATGCCCTTCTTCATCTGGCCCTTGATGGCCACCAGCACCTTGTCGCCGATGAGGCCGACGCCGCGCTTGTTATAGACGTGTATGCAGCGGGGTGGCCGGCCCTCGGCCATGGCACGCTTGCCCAGATCGCTGTTGTCCACCACGCGCAGCCGGGAAAGTTTCCGTATCTCGCAGCATGCCGGCGTCGTGTGCAGCTGACATTTGGCGGCGGCGGCGGCTGTCAGCGGGCTGGTGGTGTTGCTTTTGGCCAGCAGCGCCACATTGCCGGCTCTGGTCACGTTTCTCAGCAGGATTTGGGCCATTTGGCTAAATGCTTTTCACAGCAACGGATCCAGCTGAATTTTTAGAACAACAAATTCCAATTATACAATGCCCTATCGATACATCGATGGCGGTGCAATGCAACAGTGCAATGATCAGCTGACTTCTGCGCACCTATCGATAAATTTCCCTCTATACGATAGTCAATTGTGACGTCACCGATTATTTTTGAGCGCGCGCTTTTTGAATTCTCATGCAAATTTCGTTAATTTCTTATAACTAGCTAATTAAACGACACTGTCAGCTCATTTTTGGCTCCGAATGATCAAATTCGAAGGCCAATTACAGTGCAAGCACATTTCGAATACGCACAATTTAACAAATTCACACATTTCGCCCAAATACTGCTGGCAGTCTGTTAAAAAGCATGTCCAATAGGTGTTTAATGTATTTTCTAGAGCATTTGTTGCCTTGTTTAATTTAAAAACCACAAAATAATTTTGTTAAATTTGACAATTTCAAATTTTTCGTTGGCGCCAAAAGATTTAGCTTCTTCTTCCTGAATTTGTGACGTAGATGCGCAGAACGGTGCGATAGTTGAACTGAAAAACTAGTTCCGATATTCATCGACTGCCCATTAATATCGATATTCATTGAACACAGTGCTGCCAAGTGTGGACAGTGCTGCCAATGCCACTGTTTAAATTCAAATTTAAAAATCATCCGTTTTTTGTTTGGTTTGTTATTTTCCAGCGATTTGCTTAGCAAAAATGCGTTGCGCAATGCCTTTGCATGGATTTTCATTTAAAGATCAAAAGCAATTGTGCTTTTTGCGAAGTTTTCGCGCATCTTATAGATATTAGTGTCTTAATAAAATGCCTGGCACCAAGTGTTGCCCAGTTTCGCGCAGTGCTGCCAATGTCGTTTCGTAAATTTAAATTTGAATTTAAAAAGCACACTTTTCGTTTGTAATTTTCATGCAATCTATTTATTAATGTATCAATAAAATATGCTCAAATGCGCTCCAAGCAATCAATTGCAGCGCACAATACATATGTATACACGTGTCTGTGTGTGTGTGTGTTTGTGTGTGTGTGTGTGAAGGTATTTCTAATAATTTATAAGCATAGTTTTAACGCTTCAATTCGTTTGCTAATCGCTCGCTTTGCTTTTGTGCTATTAGTTGTTGTTTACATATTTGTTAAGTTTTAATATTAAATTGTTATAGTTGTTGTTTGTTTTTTTTTTTGTTTTGTTTTTGTTTGTTTTTTGCTTTGACACGACTAAGTAGACCAGTCCCATTGGTTAGAAAATTGGTTACTATAATTCACTATATGACATACAAAATATTATATAGGCATATGACGTATATATAAAATTGCTTGTTCCTTTTGTTATTTCTTTCTTTCGCATTTTGTGTGCTGTTGTTGGTTTTTGTTTTTGTTTTTGCTTTTGCTTTTGTTTTTGGGTTCTTGTGACCTTAGAACTAAAACAAAGTGTTTAAAAAAAAAAAGAGCCATTAAATTACATAGTTCATAACAAATATTAAGAATAGTTAAAAAAAAAAAATAATTTTGTATATATATTTATATATGCTTGTGGATTGGTATTCAAAAGCGCGTTAAATAACAAAATTGTTACTAAAAAAATATGTAAAAAATAAAAGATATATATATATATATATATAGATATATATACTTGATGTACAACAACAATTTGCATACGCACTTGTTAATTATTTACATTTACACAAAATAATAATATGTAGAATAAAAATAATAATAATTAAAATAAAAGCAAAAGATAATGTGACAGGAAATCAAAAGAAAATAAAAATACAAATAAAAATTGGATTTCCATTGAAAAATTTGCGCATTCGCTTTGTGCATTTCGTTTCGGTTCTCTCTCTCTCTCTCTCCCCCTCTCTCTCTCTCTCTCTCTCTGTATTCCTTATGCTCCTTATACTGATTCCGCTCCCGCTGCTTCTTCATCTTCTTCCTCTCCATTTGGGCTCAGGCGCGATTTAGCTCGCCGCGCTTAAAGTTGCGTATCGCCTCCAGGAGCTGGTCGCGCGGATCCGGCGTCGTCGGCGTCATGGCCGTCCCGCTGCGCACGGGCCTCGCCTTGGCCAGCATTGGTGGCGCCGGCGGCGCTGGCGGCATGGGCGTGGGCGTGGGCGTGCTCCTGGTGGTGGTCATCTGGCTGGTGGGTCGCAGCTTCACTTGCAGCAGCGCCGGTGTCGCCTCCGTTTCCAGCTTCAGCTCCAGTTTGCTGCTGCGCATGATCGTTGACGGCGACGTCGCTGCTGCTGCTGCTGTGTTTGTTGTGGGCGTTGGTGTGGATGTGGGCGTGGCCATGCCATTGACTGAGACGCGGACACGCAGCGCCTGCTCCTTCTCCTGTTGCTCCTTGGCCAGCATGCGCTCCTTGAAGCCCGTGCGCCGCAGCGTATTCTGTCCGAAAGGCGCCGCCGCTGGCTCCGCATGCATCGAAGCCCTCTCCTTATCCTTCTCCCTCTCCCTCTCCCACTCCCGCTCCTTGTCCAGCGTGGCAATGGGTCGGGGCAGCGAATTGGTCGTAACGCCGCCGGCAACCGGAACGCCAGCGGGCAGCGTATAGCGATTGCTTCTCGCCGGACGCGGCAGCGTCGAGGGCTTCACAAGCTCGCGTATTAGCTCCTGTTTCGGCTCCTGCTTCTCCACATGTTTCTCCTCCTGCCTCGGCTCCTGCTTCATTTCGGTCTGGTTGTCACGCTGCCGCTCCCGCTCTCGCTCCTGGCTGGCATCGCGCAGCGGCTTGACTGTGATGGGCACATGGTATTCCTTGCGCGGAATACCCATGCGCAGTATGGGCGAGGCCACCTCAATGGTCAGCTTGACCGGGGCTGCACTGGCTGGCGCTGCTTTGGCGCCGCCATAGATATAGTCGCCCTCGTTCTTGATGGCCACCTGCGATTTGGGCCGCTCGCTCCAAGTGGCAAAGTTAATGCTGGGCGGTCCGGAGTAGCGATAGGTCGGCGGCAGCGGCTTCCGCTCGGGCTTGGGCTCGGGCTCGGGCCTGACGACAGTTCTGGCTGACAGTTCCCGAACTGGGCTGCAGCGGGCCGAGTCGTCGGTCGAGTCCAGGCCGGAGGCGCTTGCGGGCGTGGACGCAACGGTGACCAGGGGCTTGGCAGCTGTGGACGCCACTGTGGGCGCCACTGTGGACACGACTGTGGTCGCGACTGTGGACGCGACTGTGGTCGCTTGTGGGCTACTCTTTGGTTTCTCTGACTGTTCCAGTTGCTGCTGTTGCTGCTCCGTCTGGCCATCCGCCAGGCTGTTCTTGCGCGAACTGCTCAGTATGTTCTTGATCAGCTCGAGGCTCTGCAGCGACGGCGACTCGGCGATGCTCAGCTCGCTGGAGGAGCGTCGCTGCTGCTGCTGCAGGCTCCCATTGCCGTTCAGCTCGACCCGGTTCAGGGATAGCTGCGAGGAGCTGCGCAGCCGCAGGCCCAGGCCGCTGTGCCTCGGCGAGGTGGACGACGCCTGGAAGGAGTCGGCGCGCGTGATGGTCGGCGAGCTGTTGCTACTGCCGGAGCTGCTCCTGGCCATGCTCAAGCCATTCCCAGTTCCATTCCCAGTTCCAATTCCATTTCCAGTTCCATTTCCGATTGCGGCTATGCTGAAGTTGGCCAAGCGATTCGGCTTGGCCGCCTCGATTTGCGGCTGGTCGGGCGTCTGGCGGATGAGCGTGTCGAGACGCTGCTGCTGTATGATGGTCGACAGCTCGTCGACAATCTCGTCCAGCGGCGTGCTGGCCGTGCTTCTGGGGCGCGTCTGCGCCTGTGTGCCATCCGAGAAGTCCGGCGGCGGCGATATGGGCACCGCATAGTTCCACGACGACAGCGAGGTTAGCTCGCTGGCGCTGCTGGGCGTCGCCGAGGCCGATGTTGAGGCACCATTCGCCCGCGGCGACTGCTGCTCCTCGGCGGTCAGCTCGTCCTCCGTCTCGGGCTGTTGGGCCGTCAGCACGTTCAGCTCGGCGAGCGTTGTGGGCGCTGCCGGCAGCTGCTGCTGCTGCTGCTGCTTGGTCTTGAGAGAGCTCTCGCAGGAGGTCTTGAAATTGTACACCTTGATGGCCTCCTCGTCCTCCGAGCTGGACTCGATCTGGCATTTACGAGCGGCCAGCTGCTGTGACTCCGTCTCCGTCTCCGGCTCGGGTGAGGGCGTGCTCGATGGCAGCGGCTCGCCTATGCCCGAGTCAGCCTGCTTGGAGGCGGCATCGTTGTTGTCCTCCTCTTCCTCCTCCTCCTCCTCCTCCGTGGCGCTGCCCAGCGAGCGCGGTTCCGGCGTGGGCGTCGGCGTCGGCGTGCGATTCAGCAGCACCTTGGACACATTCTGATTGCCATTGCTGGGCAGCTGTGGCGCCGCGCTGGTCGGCAATGCCGGCGCCTTCTCGCCCACCTCTTGGCTCGGAGGCGTGGCTGTAGTCATTGCCATGGGTATGGGCGTGGTGATTCGGGGCGCCGGCTGCGGCTGGGCCGGCGGAGCCAACACTTCCGTCATGGAGGCCGTTGTAGAGGCCAGCGATATGCTGTCCGCAGCTGCTGCTGTTGCTCCGGCAGCGGCCAGATCGGGCGGCGGTGCGGGTGCCGCCTTCTTCTTCAGCTGCAGCAGACGCTTGCGCGGCGTCGGCTCCGGCAGAGCCGGCATTGGACTCGGCTTGAGTTCGACTGTGGCATAGTGTCCGCAATCGGCGGCATCTGGCGTCTTGGCGCTGTTCCCGTTGCAGTCGAGCTCCAGCGAGGGCTCCGTTTCCGTTTCCGCATCCAGCTCCGGCGTGCTGGCCAAATTGGGCGTGGACATGCACAGCTGCGGACGCTTCACAATGACCGCATACGCGGGCTCCGTGGGCGTCGCCGGCGTCGCGCTGAACTGCGCCACGGACTGCTCCGGGATGACCAGCTGGCTGGGGGGGCGTGGGGCCAGGCGCTTCTTGCGCGGCGGCGGGGCCAGCGCGAGGGCCTTGGGCGGCACGACGGGCGTGCGCGTATAGTTCATGCCCGTGGAGTCCATCGAATTGAGCGAGTTGCTCGAGCTGTACGGGCTGGGCGTCTTGGCCGCCAGCTTCGAGTGCGAATGGCTGTGCGAGTGCCGGCTGCTGCTGAACTCCGAGCTGCTGCTCATCGAGTCCCGCGCCGCGGCCGTGCGCTGGAACTTGAGCATAGAGTCAGCGTTGAAGCTGTCGTACGACTCCGACTTGTGGCACAAACGGATCTCCGACAGGCCCACCGCGCCGATCGTCGACTCGCAGCTGTACACCTGACTAGCGTCCACTGTGGGCGAGAGAGCGAGACGGGCCAAATTAGTTCAAGCAACTAGACGAAAGCTTAACAAACTAAATCATTTGCTCTCGAACCGGTTCGCAGGTGGTTCGCCACAGCGAGGCCTGCTGACGGAATCGAACTGAACCGGTTCAGATATATACGGAATTCGGAAATCGATCTGTTTAACCCTGAAGCGAAGCCTTAAGCCCGATTGCATGGAGCTCAGACGCAGCTAAGCCTGGCACATAGCCTCAGTTTCTCAGTTCCTTTTCTTTTTTATTGTAATTCCCAGCTTATTTTTAACCTGGGCTACGTATAAATCGAAGGAAGTCTGAGAGCATCAGATCAGATTCTTTTTTTTTTATTTCTCACTCGTTTATCGAGTTTCGATCAATAATCGAAAAGCTTTGCTGCATCAGTTATAAGAAGTTTTAATCTTAGGTTGAATATTCTCGATACATATCGGATCCTTATTTGTAAAAGATTCCCACTTTTCATTGTATTGACGGATTGTTAGCCTCACGTGTCTATCGACTTTCGATAATTCGATAAGAAATCGAAAAGTTTTGCCGTATCCGTTATAGGAAGTTGGAAATTGTCGATATATATCGGTCACCTCTTTGTTGTAGATCCCTACGGCCCATTGTTTTAATGGATTGTAAGCCCCATCTGGGCTGATAAACTTATCGCTTAAGTTTATCGAAGGGTTTACCAATTTTCATTAATACGACATGTTCAATCGAAAAGCTTTGCCAGAGATCTGATGCTAATACAGTTCTAAGAATCTTAGATAAATCGATAAATAATCGAAAAGCATTACTAAATAACTGATATTTAAGAAATTATATTATTATTGTAAGCTCCATCTGGATTTCAAAAAATATCGCTTCGATTTATCGAAGTTTTTCTTAAGATTCGATAGTTCGATATATAATCAAAGAGCTTTGCAAGAGAACAGATGCATAAGAAGTTATAGAAACCGAATCTTAAACTGGGAATTCTCTTGGTACATAACCCTGTCGGAGCCTTCTCTGTCTTGTTTGTATTCCTTATAAGATGTTATACTGTTATATTGGAGATTCTCGATATATGTATATCGATTTCTTCTTTGTTGTAGATCCCCATATCCCATTGTCTTAATGGATTCTGTCCCTCACCTGCTTTGCAAAACTCCGAGCTTAGTCTAATCGGGATTGTTCGATAAATAATTGAAAAGCTCAGCTAGATAACTGATGCTCAAGAAGCTATAATCCTTAGTTTCTAATTTCTCTTGGCAAATAGCCCTATCGAATCCGTATTTATTGTAGATCCCTACCTTCCACTGTCCTAATGGATTCTATCCCTCGCCTGCATTGCGAAACTTATCGCTTCGATCTATCGAAGTGTTGCTCAAGATTCGATAGTTCGATATATAATCGATAAGATACTTAAGAAGTTATAAAAGAGAATTCTGAGAATTCACCTGTTGCATAACCCTATCGGATTCTTCTTTGTCCTAAATCCTTCTAGTCTTCGGATTTGATAGATTGTTGGACTTACCTGGATTGCGAAACTCGTATTTATCGGCATCCAATTGTTTGTTGTCACAGACCAGGGAGAGCAGTTTGCTGAGTGGCACACGGGCGCCCAGTCGGGTCACATAGAGCTGATCCTTGGGCAGGAGCACGGTTATGCGAAAGGTCTGCTCGAAGGGTGCATTGCTGGTCGCCGCCGGCAGCGGCGTGATCCGATTATAATCCAGCTGACTAGCCTCATTGATGTGCATGCCCTGATCCGTGGACAGATGGTGCAGCTGTGTTGTCGATTTCGATAGCTTCCCGTTGGCGCTCCCGACGCCCGATTTGTCTGGATAGCGAGAAAGACAATTAAGGTACGGCTTTCAAGAAAGGAGGGCAAGACTGGCAAATGGGCGAAGTTGGGGGACTTACCCTTTTTGCGGCCAAACCAGCGATTGAGTGTGCTGAAGCCGCCCTTCATGCTGCTCATCTTTGGGGCGTGGCTGGCTCGCACACTTGCTCTCTCTCTCTCTCTCTCTCTCTCTCTCTCGCTCTCTCTCACTTTCGTTCAGGCTGCTTGCTGCGTGTTTTCACTAGTTTTCAACTTGTTCTATTTCCGTTTCCGTTTCTGTTTCCAACTGTTCCTCTTGCTTTTTCCTTTTGATCGTTTGCTCTTGTTGTTGTTCGCCTCTCTCTTTCTCTAGAATGTTTCGTAATATTTCTGAAGCATACTACAAAATGGCGTGCGATTTGTTCGCTGCGAAATCTGCAAGTGAAAATCATTCGAATGCCGATTACGATTACGTTGAAGAATACGAAGAAAAAAATACAAGAAAATGAAACGCCAAAGACGCCAACGCGCTTATCAGAAGCCAGCGGCCCGATAACGTTTCCAAGCACCCGAGGGAGGGTGCCCCCCTTTTGGCCAAGACTCAAGCATATAGACGAGCTAAGCGGTGGGGAAGGGGGGGGGGGGGGGCGGCCAATTGCCAGGGGCGTGGTAAAGCAGCCGCCACACGCATTCCTTGTGTAATGAATGGCTTTCTTATCGTCGACAACGTCGGCCTACAAATGAATACACTCACTCACACTCACACACACACACACACAGTCACGCACACACACTCACGCACACTCATTCACAGCCATATGGATGTTATATAGACACCCATACGTTGATTCTATGTAAGGTCTGATTGCTTTCGGATGTGCTTATGTCAGCCAGATAAGCGTCCAAAAGACGCACATCACCTGCAATGTTGCCAACTTAACCTGAAACGGTTAAGAGCTTAGTTCTATAACCGTTTGTTATACCTATATGCTAGCTATATAATATGTCAAACGGGTTTCAATATTGATAATGACATAGGCAAGACGTAAGAAATGAATACCAATGGATTTGGCTGGGAAATTCTTATAAATATTATACGACACAGCAGTTGGATAGAGTTACGTATTTAGGAAGTTCAAATTATGATTGGGCATTATAATTATTATATTTCTTAGACATATTTCTTCAAAAATAGTTTTAAATTAACTAAATTTCTCAGCTCTAGAGTGTAAATATCTTGAGTTTCAACAATTTGATAGCTCGAATCAAATGTGTCAGATGTTAATTTTGGGATAGGAACAAAATGTAGCCCGCAATTTCTATATGAAAATATCTAAGACTTGCAATTATATTAAATGGAAAATGAAATTCTTTCATTAAAATGTTGAAAATGTTGGAACCAAAACCTGATTGGAAAGATGTGTAAGACGAGTTTCATAAATCAAATGCAACGGCAGGCAGATCAAAGACAGTTCAAAGCGCAAATCGAACCAGCGACTTTTATTTTTTGAGTTTGCAGCTTGGATTTAAGCCCAGATTTCGCTGTTCAGTTGAGCTCCACGCAAATTGTGGGAACTTTCTTTAAACTTGTTTAGCTAAGCACAAAGAGTATTAAGCTTTAGCAATAAATACTTTAGAGTAGTTGGAGTAGTTTATAGAGTATTTTATAGTATTTGCAGCTGATCCAGCTGGATCTTCCATTGCAAATTGTTTGTTTTGGACAGTTGAAATTTCAGGTAAATATAATTAGGCTAAAGCAAGCCTCATCAATTCCCCTTTTTATGGGCAGCTTTAAAACATCGTTTCCAGCTATCGTAAAAAATGATTGTTGGGAAAAATAATCGCAAACGAGTTAAAATATTTACAGCCTGCAAATTTGCATGCGATCATAAACACAAATATTTATGATATTCATAAAGTTGACTCGATAATATATAGATGTAGATATGCGCATATCTTTAAAATCGCGCACGTCCATAACCTAGGCAATTAGAGATGGGTGCGTGACAAATAATTTCATCTACATCAAATATATTTGTACATAATATATACATAAACATATATATTTACACAGTCTGTTTTGTTTGCTTTGATTTGGTGCATTTTTCTTAAGTTTGGGATATCACGACACAGTTTCTTTTAGAGATAAGATAAGAAGCTTCACAAGATTCTTAGCTACTCTTGTGTTGACTCTCGCTCTCGTATACGATGTTCCGCTTACTCAACAAATATCGCATTGCATCGTTCTGGGCAGCTATAGTACATAAACGCATATCTTAGAGACTTCGGTCGTGTCACGACTCACGCGCCCGTCTTTATTATCAATTAACCTGTTAAATTTGTTGCTATTTGCGCTAAGCTTAACGCCAATTGTCCTCTAAAATATTGAATAAACAGCGATAGACGCACACGAACGCACACACACACACACACACACACACATGCACACACATTGGCCTTTGTTGCTCTATCTAGAAGCAGGCGGCAAAAGCCGCGCGCAGCCTGCGACCTGCCGCGCGTTTTTTGTCGCGTGCGTTCAATTTGCACACAATGCGGGTGAAGTGCTTCGTTAGGTGGACGGTGGAGGAGGGGGGGGGGGGGGGTGTGGTACGCGGTTAGCTCGCTTGATTGTATAATGACGTGGTTCAAACGGTACTGTTTCTTTCAATGTGTGTGTGTGTGTGTGTGTGTTGTATGTTGTCTTCTCATTGGCCATGCAAATTACTTACAATTGCAGCAATAATGAGAACAACAACAACAACAACAATGTGTACAAGGCACATGGTATAATCAGGCAAGTGCTCGACTAAGAGATACCCTGTATGCACGCGTTAGCATGCACATGGCGCACGTTCCTTTTCCCTGCTGATTCATTTCGATAAACATCAATTAAATTGAATTCGATAAAGAAAATCAACTTAAATAAAATGGCTAGAGCTAACAAGACTAACAAGTTCCAAAATCGATATTTATCGATATTATGAAGAGGTCGAATAAAACCTTTTTTTTACCATTCGCACAAAAGATAGCTGAAGAAAAGTGTATATCTGTCCATGATCAAACAAGTGCTCGACTAAGAGATAGCCTGTTTCTCTTCTGATTCCCTACGATAACCTAAATTAAATCAAATTTGATTAAGAATCAACTTAAAAATGAGCGCAATAGTCGAGACATGGCACGAGGTTTTCTCAATTTTAAGGCTAATAGGGGCAAATGTCTAAGGAGTGAATAGATCCAATCTCTTTATACTAACAAAAACCAAATCTCAAAATCGATATTTATTGATATTACATGAAAATGGACGAATAATGCCCTTTTTTTTTACCAATAGCAAAGAAACTAGTTAAGAAAACGTGTATAATTCGAACATGTATAACAAGCTCGACTAAGAGATACCCTGTATGCACACATTTTCAGTGGCATTTCAAACAATTTAAAACCTCAAAAAGAAGTCACTTTTTGAACAAACACAAGATAATATGCTGTCGCCTGTTGCCTGTTGATTTGTATAACACCCCACAGGACACTTGTTACAGGGTAGACTTGCAACAGTCGCACACATATACATACATATGTATATGGATACATATGTGCGGGTATATGCTTACAGTCGTGTAATTGAGACACGTGTCCGACTTACTGCTTCAATGCTGCACCTACCCCCCACCCCTATCCACCGCCCCTTTCCCCCCTTGGAGAACATTTGGCAACCCTTGTGGTATACGCCTTGAAGCATCTGTAAATCGATTTGGCGCTTTTGTTTTTTAACGAGCTGCCGCACTAATTAGCCCGACTATTAGCTTGGCTAATTAAATTTTACTCACTGTTTAGCTATTTTGTCGATTTGTTGTTGTTGTTGTTGTCGTTGTTGCTAATTCTAATGGCTTTGAGAAATGGAACCGAGCAACGTGCAAACTTTACTAAACACATTTTTGGTTATCAATTTTGGCTATTTAAGCACACAAGTGTGTGTGTGTGTGTGTGTGTGTGTGTGAGTAAGCGAGAGGCAGCTAGGCGGAGCGGGGCGGGGCGGGGCGGTTGAGCTTTTATAGTCAGTTAGTTAAACTTGAAATAAACATGAGTAAGAAAAAATTCCTCGGCTATCAAAGCGACAAGGCGACGACATCGAAACAATTCTCAAAAATCATCACGTTCCACAAACATGCCAGTTGTATTGTGCTGGCCGAAAAATATCAAATAAAATAAAATAAATTAAAATACATATATAGTATGTGTATATAGCATATAGTCGACTGACTGACCAATTGCCGTAAAGCTTAACGGCTTTTATTGAGCACAAAGTTGAGAGATCGAAACCCCGCGAAGCCGAAATTGTGCAGAATCTGTGCAAAAGCTCTAAAACTTCGTAAACTGGATTTCGAATTGACAAAGAAAAGAAATATATGACTATTCTAACCAACTATCTATATATGTATGTGTATATATATCCAAATATGTGTGCATCTACTTATCAAGTCATATACTACTGACCTTTATGGTATATGTCACACACATGCGCTATAATTTTATACTATTAGCTGACTCAAGCCCCGGCTCACTCATTAACAACCTCACAGATTAGATATATATATCTATGCATATATCTCAAAATATATAAAACTCTTTGTCCTGACTGACTGATTGGCGATCATGGGCTGTGCCCATACCGTAAGAGCTGGGAAGCTGAAATATTCCCTGTAGACGGGGTTTTGGGAAATTCCGCCCGCAAGTGTGCAAAAATTGCGAAAAACGTTATATATATATATATAAACGTTATATATAAAACGTTCACACTTATAGAAAAATGCATTCCCTCAAATATCCTAAAGGGACATAGTTCAAAATTTCCCACCCCCATAACTCGGTCAAATCTCATTCTCTTTGTTTATTTATTTTATACGTACCACTGGCAAGGCCGGGGTATACCCTCTAATATATATATACATATACATATATACATATATGTGTGTATATAATAGCATTCAGTTTGCAATTAGATATTGACAGGGTAAACGGTCGAGTTTTTCATTCAATCAAAAGCAATTCAAGTATTGTCCCATCATTAATTATAAACAGCTGCGTTTCTGTATGTTAATCCACATATCTCAATATACATATGTACATATATTTCTGTTCGAATCGATTGTAAAGCAAAGTCCCTCTTTGTAGCTTATCTGGAGAAGCACTTGAAAAGTCTTTATGCGGTTTTTATGGTTTAAGTGTGCCTTTGTTTGGTAAAGTTCAATCTGATTCCCAAATAAGACGGAGTCGAGCAATGCCGCTGATAAAACGATCAAAAATGTCGTGCAAAGAAGAAGAGGTTGAAAAGGAAAAGATAAATGAGCGCTACTTGTAGAACGTTTAAGGATATCCGGACTAAAAGGAAAACTGAAAAGCTTGCAAGGGAGAAAGAGATGTGAAAGAGAGAGGGAAAG